TTTTTTTTTTTTTTTTTTTTTGGTTCTCATGCTGTCTTCTGATATTTTACTAATTCCAATTACTCTTACATTAAAGTTCTTTAAGTCATCTAGGAGGTGTTGGATCCATTTTCATGTTCTCCAGTCTCAGTGGTAGTGTAACACTTTCGTCCTGAAGTGAAACCCTCCTTCTCAGTGTTGATTACTTCTTCAATCAAGTTGGTCTGTAGGCTGTCAACTTTATTGCCCTGTGCTGTCGTGAACTCAGGGACTAGAGGTGGGGGCATTCCAGGATCCTCTTGGGTCTGGTGTAGGGCAGAAGTTTTTCTTTTTATTAAGAATATAGGGGCTGGGGATTTAGCTCAGCTGCACAGCACCTGCCTGGCAGGCGCGAGGTTGTGAGTTTGAGTCCCAGTACCGGAAAAAAACCAAAAACAAAAAAAAAAGAATATAAGCTGCAACTTTCTCAAAAGGAATAGTTGATATTTAATTGTTTGATCATTCTTACATGTCTATATTTGTTTATCTGAATAACCAATATGAAGATAACATTATGTAATACAACAATCATTGTTAATTTCTTTTCACCTTGTCTGAAATTGTGTATGGTTTTTATTGTATTTATGTTGTTTCATTTATGTTTGTATGTTTGTTAATATGTTTTGGTTCTTTTTAAAAATAAAAAAAAGCTACATTATTTATATAGGCTTGAAGTCCCTGTGCCACACATAGATTATTATGAATTGGGTTCTTATTTTTAGAAAGTCAAAATAATTGCTTCAAAAATTTTAATTTGGGATAAAGATATAGTTCAGTGGTGCAGTATTTGTGTCTTAGTTACTTTCTTATTGCTGTGACAAAATACTGGACATTCACAAGTTTAAGGAGGAAAGGTTTATTTAAGCTCACAGTTTGTAGAGGTTTCAGTTTACAGCTGGCTGACTCCAAGGCAGGGCAACATGACAGAGGAAAAACAGTTCATAATGTGGCAGACAGGAAGATAAATGGTCACTTCAGTACACATTCCCTCAAAATTGAAATACAATTACATGGGTCATCACAGACCTTCTGAAACCCATACATGGAGTCCCTAGAGCTAAGAAGAAGAAATATGTGTAAGAAAGAGAATGTTTAAGAAAGTGGCAGAATCAAATCTGATTCAGAAATATAGTAGAATAGTTCCACCAGAGGAATAGTGGTGAAGGCCTGAATTTTTAAAATGAATATGAGAACAGAGGAAATGGGTTTGAAAAATTTTTTAAAGGTAGAATGAATAGGCATGGTGATTTTCTGGGAAGATTTAAGGAAGCCAGAGGGAATGGAGACCAGATACAGTCTCTAAGGTCACCCTTCCCCCGCTTTGATTCACTCCCTTCACGTTTCCATTCCTTCCTTAAAACCGTTAATGTAAAGATGTCTTAAAGGCAGAACCCTCATGATCCAGTGGACATCCAAAAGAACTACCTCTGAACACATGAGAGTGTGGGGAAATTTTAGGTGGAAACCCTAAGAGTTATAAAGCATACAACTCAGGAACAGCCAAATGGAAGAGTACATAAGACAAGACTCGAAGCATTTGGTGTTCTGCTTTCCCAGTACCTTTGTGTGCTTACCAACCTAGGACTCCAAACCACATTTTTAGGGATTTTATGGAGGTTACATTATGCAGGTATAATTAAGTCACTGGCCATTGATGAGTAATTTGATCTGCAGCCCTTCTCCCCTCTCCAGAGATTAGGGAAGAGTCTGAAAGTTACAACTCTCTTGAAACTAGTATCCAAAAATCATCCTGTCTGCTATCAGCCCCCACCCTCAAAGTGTCTCAGGGCCCCAGCCACCAGTCATCTCATTACCATACAAAAGGTACTATTCTCGCTCCATGGATTCCAAGGATCTTAGGATTCTTGCCAGCAGGAAAATGAAACTTGTGCTTGCAGATTGAAACCACCATGCAACTGTAAATGTTCCAGGATGATTAGTCGTGACAAGGAAGCAAGCTCAGGCTTTAGCTCTCGGCTCTGATATTCCCATTAACTTTGCCAGGCGAGCCTGTGGGTGGCATCTAGGGGTGGAGTCAGGTTTAAGAGGAAGATGCCCGAGGCTGCAGTCTGCAGTCACGTGACCCGGCTGCTGGCCAACACTGACACTTCAGATCAAATTTCAACTCCAGACAGTGCGCTCAGCCACGTGGGCTCAGCGGAAGGAGAGCCCACTTCCTAAAGGTGTTTGGGGCCTATATTCAACTACTGCAAGGCCTTGGGAGAGGAGAATGATATTGGAGTGAAAGCATAAACACAGGGCGGAATTGTTGGGTTTCCTCTTTTTACTTGGAGACACTTCCTGCGAGGATGGGGGCAGGCACGCTGGGCATCTGCGTGAGTACAGGCCTCCTGCTGTCTGCTGGGTACCCAGGGCCTGTGGGAGAGGTGACGCCAGAAGTTTGCTTCACCTTGGGAAAAGGGGAAGACTTGTTACTTAAATTCCAGTCTGTTCAGATGGATGTTAGACAGTATTTGAGGTGGTATCTAGCATTTTTGTCTCCTTCCCTTTCCAAAAGTGAAGGGAGATGTATGCTTGAGTTTATACTCAATTAAGGCAGCTTGACTGTGTGAAAGCATTATTGTGTTTAAAGAATTAAATCTGAATGAATGTTGAATCATTGAGAAAGAATTAGAATAACTATCAGTGTATTGCCTCAGATTATACCCATGACAGTTTTCTATTTCACATTCCTGTTTTCCTCTACTAATTCAGGAATTTGCCTCAGAATGTTTGGTGAAAGTGTTGGTGGTTGATAAGTGTTGGTGAATCTATTCATTTACAGAAACTTCTGGTTGTAGTATCAATAAGTAATGCTGTTACTTATTTTCCTATACATGGGAAAAGTGTGTATTTCTAGGACTAAATTTTATAAATTAGCTCTGCTGTTGCTTATACAAAATTATGTTAATCAAATGTTGTCACTGTAATTTACAAAATGCAATACTGTAACTTAAATTTTAACATAAAGATAATGAACATATATATGTAAATCATAGTTATATTTCAAATCAGTATCTTATTCCAGGGGGCATTTTATTTGTTCCTAAATGCACTAAGAAATATTGTATTCTTTTTTAATCATCTTGACTGAAAAAAAAACACAGTCACTTAAAAAAAACACAGTCAAATCAGGTCTGTTTTTTTTTTTTTTTTATAAATTTCAGAAAGAGCTATAATTTGTTGTAGATTATAATGGATTTCTGTTCAATTTTACTTTTTGTACTGGGAATCAAACTCAGGACCCTGTGCTTGCCAGGCAGGCACTGCGCCACTGAGCTATATCCCTGTTCCTATAATGGCTTTCTGAAATATCTAGAAATATCTGGGCAAGTTTTGAAACATAGGCTCAAAATGATCACTAGATGGTGGACATCACCATAGATTATTTATTTGTAAACCTGCTGGAGGGCTGCCTCAGCCCTTTTTACCATCCTCTCCTAGTTGGCCTAGCTTACCCATTAGCCCTGAGGCTTGTAACATCCAGGTATCCAGGTGGTTTTTTTTTTTTTTTTTTTTTTAAAGAAAATGATTTTCATTGGTACGTTTTAGGTATACATAATGATCACCACATTCATCATAGGGAATTTGTATCTTTACATGATATAACTTGATTTTTCCCCCGTTCCCTTCCCTTCCCTTCGACCTCTCTTTCCTTCCTTTTTTTTACAAAGCTTTGTTTCCATTTTTTCCTTCTTTTTCTTTTTTTTACTTCCCCCTAACTTCCTTCCTTCATTTTCCTCTCCCTCCCTTGTTCCCCTTCCCATTTGAACATTTTCTTCCTATTTCACAATATCTATTACACATTTTGGTCCTTATTTACACTTTTGATTTTTCACACCAGGGAACCAGTGCTGTATTTGCACACATGTGTCTAGGTTATTTCACTTAAGAATATTGTCTCAAGGAGAATCCATTTGCCTAGAAATGTTTCAAGCTTATCCTTCTTTGTGGCATAGTGCTCAATTGTATTAAACACACACGCACACCACATTTTCTTTGTCTAGTCACCAATTGGTGGGCATTTGGGCTGTTTCCAAGATTTGGCTATTACTAACTGTGCTGTTATAAAAATGGGTGTGCATACATCGCTGTGGTATGATGCTTTTAATTTCTTTGGAAAGATACCAAGAAGGGAAATAGGTCAAATGAGACCCCTACTCCAAAATTTTTGTGGAATCTCCTCACTGATTTCCATGGTGCTTGTGCACTTGTGCTAGTTTACACTTCTACCAACACTGGAGAAGGGTTCGTTTTTCCCCACGGGTGCTCCAGCATTTGTTATTGGTTGATTTCTTGATGATAGCCATTCATTCTGGAGTGAAATGGAATCTCAGTGTTGTTTTAATTTGCATTTCTCAGATGACCAATGATGTTGAACATTTTTTCATACATTTATCTTCCATTTCTGTTTCTTCATCTGAGAAGTATCTATTCATTTTGGATGCCCATTTTTGGATTGGATCTGTAAGTTTGGGGGTCTGATTTTTTTTGAGTTCTTTATGTATTCTAGATAGTAATACTTCATATGAGGAACAGCTGGCAAAAATTTTTCCTCACACTTTTCCCACTATGGTTGCATCTTCACACTGTTAGAATTTTGATCCGGACTGTGTTAAATCTTTGTTACAATTTTGGAAGTATGGCCTATATTGGTTCTTCCTACCCAAGATCAAGGGATATCTCTCCATTTTCTGATATCCTCTTTAATCTCTTTTTTCAGAATAATGTAATTTTCAATGTAGAGGTCTTTTTACTTTTTTCAGTGGATTAATTCCTAATAGCTATTGCAGTTTTTTTTTTTTTTTGATGCTATTGTGAAAGATGTTATTTCCCTAGTTTCTCTTTGAGTGAGTTTGTTATTCAGGTACAAGAAAACTGTTGATTTCTGAGTGTTGACTTTGTATCCTACTATACTACTGAATTTGGTACTTAAGTCTAGAAATCTTTTGGTGGAGTTTTTTGGGGTCTTCTATGTAGAGTATCATGTCATCTGCAAATAATGGTAATTTAACTTCTTCCTTTCCTGTACTTACTCCTTTTATTTCTTTCTCTTGTCTAATTGCTTTGGCTAATGTTTCCAGAACTGTATTGAATAGGAGTGGTGACAGTGGATATCCTTGTCTTGTTCTTGATTTTTGAGTGAAAACGTTCAGTTTTTGTCCATTTAATATGATGTTGGCTGTTGATTTGTTGTAGATGGCTTTTATCAGATTGAGGTAAAGACCATCTGTTCTTTTTCCCTTTTTTAAAAATCTTTTTGAGACCAGGTCTCACTATGCAGTCCAGGCTGGCCTTGAATTCACTTTGTAGCCCATGCTGATCTTGAACACAGTGATAGATCCTCCTCCCTCAGCCTCTCAAGTGCTGGGATTACAGGCATGCACCACTATGCCTGGTTCATCTATTCAATTTTGTGTAAGTTTTTTTTTTTGTTGTTTTTTGTTTTTGATTTTTTTCTGGTACCGGGGATCAAACTCATGACCTTGCACTTGCCGGGCAGGCACTGTGCTGCTGAGATACATCCCTAGCCCCTTGTATAAGGTTTTTTTAAATGATGAATGGGTATTGGGCTTTGTCAGATGCTTTTTCTGCATCTGTTGAGATGATCATATAGTTTTTGTCCTTGGCTCTGTCACTATGGTATATTACATTAATGTATTTGCATATGTTGAACCATCCCTGCATCCCCAGGATGAATCCTGCTTGGTCACAGTGTTTAATCTTGATGATTTACTGCATTCTGCTTGCCAGTTACTTATTGAGGACTTTTGTATCTATGTTTATTAGGGAGATTGGCCTGTAGTTTTCTTTTTTGGTTGGATCTTTCTCTGGTTTTGGTATCAGGGTAATGCTTGCTTCCAGCAATGACTTTAGGAGTATTGATTCCCTTTCAGTTTCATTAGAGAGTTTGAGAAGTAGTGTCATGAGATCTTGTCTGAACTTCTTGTAGAATTCAGCAGTGAATCCATCAGTGCCTGTGCTTTTTTTTGGTGGTAGGTTTTTAATTATATCTTCAATTTCATTGACTGATATTAGGTTATTTAGAATTTTTATGTCTTCTTGATTCTGCATTGGTAATTCCTATATATCATAGAATCTTCCAGTTTCTTCTGCGTCTTCTGTCTTAGTAGAATACAGGTTCTACAAGTAGATATAGATGATCTTCTGGATTTCTTCAGGGTCTCATGTGTTTTCACTCTTTCATTCCTGATTGCATGACTTTGAGTCTTTTCTTTGTTTTGATACAATTGGCTAAGGGTTTGTCAATGTAATCTTTCAAAGAACCAACTATTCCACTCATTGGTTCTTGATAGTGTTTTCTTAGTCTCAGCTGCATTAATTTCTACTCTAATCCCTATAATTCCCTCCCTTGAATGAGTTTAGGTTTGACTTGTTCTTTCTTTTCTAGAAACTTGAAGTTCAATATTAGGTTGCATATTTGAGCTCACTCTTATTTTTCTGATACAGGAATTCACCACTATAATTTTCCCTTGTAGTACTGCTTTCATTGTGTCATATAGGTTCCATTATATTGCATTTGCATAACTGTTTAATTATAGAAACTGTCAGCTGGGTGTGGTGGTACACTCCTGTAATCCCAGCTCTCTGGAGGCTGAGGCAGGAGGATCATTGCAAGTTTGATGCCAGCCTGGGCTACAAAGTGAGCTCAAGGCCAGTTTAAACTGCATAGTGAGACCCTGTCTCAAAAAAGACAAAAAAAATTATAGAAACTGTCTAATTTCATCTTTAATTTCACGTGTGATCCATTGGTTGCTCAGGAGGGTGTTATTTATTTTCTATGTGTTTATGAAGTTTTTGTGGTTTCTTTTGCCATTGATTTCCAATTTCATTGCATTATAGTCTGATAATACATATGGGATCATTTCAGTTCCTTTGCATTTACTTCATTATGTTCTTTGAGCTTGTATGTGGTCTATTTTTTAGAATGTCCTACATGCAGCTGAGAAGAAGTTTTATTCTGATGTTGTGGTGTGGAATGCTCTGTAGACTTCTACTAAGTCCATTTGTTCAAAAGTGTGGTTCAGGTATAGTATTTCATTGTTGATTTTTTTTTGTTTTGTTTAGTCAGTCTGTCTATTTATGTCAGTGGGGTATTGAGATTCCCTGATAAAAATGTATTAGTACTTACTTTATTTTTCATGTCCACTAATGTTTGTTCTATATAGTTGGGTGTGCTGTTATTTGGTACATATACATTTATGATTGTTACCACTTCCTCTTTTATTCCCTTTACAAGGCTGTAGTGACTCTTTGTCTTTCTTGATCAGTTTTGGTTTGAAATCCACACTGTGTGTAAGTAGAATAGCTATCT